ATACATATATCTGTTTACATATATAATTCATATATACATATATATACGAGTGTGTGTGCTTATATATATATATATATATATATTATATATATATATGTGTGTGTGTGTTTGTGTGTATCTTTACGGGGTCAAGTAGAAGTTGTATTTAACACTCGAGTCTAGCCCTAGCGAAAAAAGCATGCATTAATTTGTAGTTTCGACGTTGTGTACGAGGCCACAATAAGATGTGAGATGCCCATACCCTAGCGGTTCGGTGTGGATGCCCTTCTGCGAATCTGGTTTAGTGCTGTTTGTAGTGTAGAGTTGGAATTTGATTAGAAAATCGATTATTTATCTCATATATCACAAGGTCAACTTTCAAAGGCGGGTAGAGACTATATGTTAGTTGGGAAAAGTAGAATACAGAGTGAAGAAATTACGTAACGGCCTAGTTTCAATAGAGAGGCTTGTGTGTTATGCGCAGTTGTCAAAAACCTTGCACTTTAATATTATAATATTATCCTTTATATGTTCGCAATAGCTATTTGAGAGGTGCATAGTGTCTCCTTATTCCTAAATCACAGAAAACGAGTCCGAATTGACTCGCTACCATACACACAAACCCCGCTAGCATGAGTACACACAATACAATCTCAGGCATACGCGAGACACAATACAGCTAGCCACTAAGGGCATTGGAAAGCCAGAACAACTTGCGCGTGTGCATACGATTCTATATATGTACATGACATAGACCTGCCAGTATACACACGAAACAACTACATGCACGATAGAGATAGGCTTAAACGAACAATCAACACGAAAGACTATACACAGGATAGCCTCGCACACTTACTAGTCTTGTGTCTTCGATCTGAAGTCGGGCCGCAAGCGGATGAGTTGCGAATCGTTGACGGCACTCCCAATGAATACTGCGAGTCAGAATAAAAGGGGGATTAGCAACCACCGAGTAGGTAATTCGGGTGGAAAAGCTAAATACCAAGGTTAAATACAGGCTAGGAATTATTGATATAGTTCAGATAAAAGGTCTTAACGAGGCACCTGACACTGAACATCCATAGATACTGATGCACAGCACAAAGTAGATGCACTCATACCACCACCATAGTCTGAGTATGCGCAGTATCTACAAAGCACCACACCTGTGCAGAGTTGCAGTGGTACACACATACCGACATTGTTGTCTATGTACGTCATACACGACGCCCAGGGCGTGCAGCCTATCTCCAGAATGGCGATATTGACTACCTCGTCCGATGCCGAGACGATCAGTTTGAGGACAAACAAAGTTCCGGTATGGTCGCTCAGTAGGAACCTGAATGGGTGGGCCGGATGAAAAATGAACGGGCAGGGTTGTATTTCAGGAAGTAGAGTGCGTTGTCAAGAACGGGAAAGGATAAAATTCGAGTCTTAGAGATGGTCAAAGCCTGCTGCAAGGTACGTGCCGATTGCTTAGACCTGATAGAATTCACTAGCTTATGAGCATACATCACGCCAAGCATGATAAATCAGAAGGAACCGCCGCCTGTGTGCCGTTGTAGTGAGGTAGTCCTGCAAATTCCTAAATAGCAGGGTCGTGCCAGATACTCGAGTGACTAAATTGCGGGAATCGAGTGTGTGGTAGAATATACACTGTAACATGAGCATTCGGAAGTAGTGTAAGATGGTTCACAAGGGCTAGTTTGTATACATACATTTCTTTCAAGTTTGTTCGTTCAGAAATCTGGTATCCATTCTGGTAAGTCAACAGTCGTTCTTGCAATTCGTGCCAAAGTGTCTAGAAGCATTCGTGTATTGTTCGGCTGGGATCAGATTGTGGTGTTGAAGAACACTGCTACGCGGCTGAGGGGATATCGCATAGACATCGCAACAAAATTCGATCTATTTCTAATCCGATCAAGCATGCCACAACCATACATACACAATTGACACTTCATGCATACACATGCGTGCGCAAGCACATACATAAGTACACACCATACCTGGTCTTGTCTGTATCCAAGGCGGTGTACGACGTCATGATGGTATTCTTGATAGCTATTGTGGTGTGGTACTCGCCGTTGTGGTAGGAGATGCTCTGCTCGCCAATAACAATAGCGCCGCCCACTGGCTCATGCACGGATATCAACAAGTGGGCCCCAGCTTCTATGTCGTTCTGCGACCACGGGCCATCTCGCATGTCCTTTTCGCGCATTGACATCTCATACGTTTTGAGGTGCCTGAGGAATAAATTTGTATCGGTATGAGGTTACATAAACTGTAAACCATACACACACAACAGAAGGAAGAAAAGGCACACACGGCCGCGGACCGTATAAACACTCAATGTACACATTCCGACACACACAACAAGGACACTACAGATGCACAGCAAACAGGTAGACACCTCCACACCAACGAGCCATTCTATTTACGGACCATTCTAAATATAGATTGTATAAAATCGACACCACATAATAGTTATATAGCATACAGATAGTTGAGCGAGTTTGCATGATGGGTACATCTCAAGTCAAACCCTTACCTTGATTCGCGGTGATCTTCGTACAGAATGAGTAGCGTCGGCCTCTGGTACCTGCGCAGAAACGGTACAGATATTGACACAGTGGCCTAGATAGAGAAACTTTTCCAGTATTATCCAATAGCCGCTTCAAACAGTTTATGACTAGTAATATTGCAACCTTCTGCGTGATCAATATCCAGAAGTATGTAGTTCAATCCGTAGTTTGGGACACTAAATATTGTTCGGTTTGTGAACAAATCGCGCTTTCCATTTGGAGAATCTGTGAATGGTCTTCAACCAACAAACTTGCAGCGGCAAGATACATTTGGAACGAACAGGCAAGTATACGTTACTTCCGGCCACAGTTCGATCATACACAGATCGCAAGTATTTTATTGGGATACTATCACGCAAACAATATAAAAGTAGTCAAGCCAACAAAGCAAATCACGCATCGCGTACATACACACACACATACATATACCTATCTATATATGTATATATATATATATATATATATATATATATATATTATATATATATATATATATATATATATATATATATATATCATATATATATATACATATATATATA